AGGGGGGCTTACAGTCTATGATATGAGATGATGAGATGTCTCACAGAATTTGCCAAGGATGCCTTTTCAGATTTTTAGTTACAACATTAACTAAGTATAGAATGCCCATTTTTAAAAAATGCTTGAATGCCAAGCTTGAAGGGGTCACTCTGGGGGGGGGGGGGCAACATATTCCACAATTTGAGGGGAACCACAGAGAAGACTTGCTTTCATTTTCCCTTTTTCTTATTTTTCTTTAAATATTTTTCTCTTTTTATTTTTCTTTGAATTTGTTATACTTTTATTCTACTCAAAAATTTATTCTATTCAAAAATTTAATTAAAAAAAAGAGAAGGCCTGCTTTCTAGCCTATGGCCTTCTCCCATCTTGCAGAGACTGGATCTTAACCAACACTTGAAGTCCTAATAGTATAGATATTTTGTATAATATGGTCCCTAAGGTAACTCTCTGTCAAGCTACATAAGGCTTTATAAGTCATGTCTAGCACTCTGACTTGGCCCCAAACCTGACTGGCTACCAGTACAGCAATCACAAGATATGTGGTATTTCCCCTGATAGCAGCCTGACCACTGCATTCTGTGTCAACTGTAGCTTCCAAATTGCTTCCAAAGGCAGCCCCATTTAGAGTTCAGAGCCATAGTTCAAATGCACGGTAAAAGCATGAGTTATTGTTGCACGTCCTAGTCCAGGGAATTAGATGAGACTAATTCAACAAAATATTTGATAGAGGGGACGCTGACATAAGTGATATGAGCTTGCCACACAACTACCATTCTATTTTGGTTTAATATCCATGTTAATATGCTTTTGGGAAAAATAACATGAGTTTGAATTATATGCCAAAAATTTGCAGTTCATCAATATATGAGGGGCTATGGATTTATCAGATGTGAGCAAAAAGGTTACTCTTTTACAATGGAAATACAGTTTCACCTGGATTTACAAACTAAGATTGATGATATTTGTTCACTGTTTGCTTATAAACTGGCTCAATGTAATGACAAGACTGATATTATTTTATTTATTTATTATTTTAATTTATATGGCTGCCCATCTCAAATTCATGATTCTGAGTTGCTAACAGTATAAAAAAAATATAAAAGCCTAAAAACAGAAAAACAAAAAATAACATACATAGAAATAGGAGCCAGGGTAACAAGTTAACATAACCAGTGTTTGGGCTCAGGCAAAACCAAGTCTCTAAGGCTGACTAAAAGGGCCAATCTAATCTCTGGAGGAGTGTTTCTCAACCTTGGCTACTTTAAGATGTGTGGACTTCAACTCCCAGAATTCTGAGAGTTGAAGCCCACACGTCTTAAAGTTGCCAAGGCTGAGAGACACTGCTCTGGAGGAATGATATTCCAAAGGGTGGGTGCCACAATGAAAAGGATCTCTTCCCCGGCCCCACTAGATGGGATTTCTTAGCAGACTGAACCTAGAGCATGCCTCTTAGGCCAGACCCAATGGAGCAGGTAGACATAATCAGGTAGAAGTGGTTCCTCAAATAAATTTACGTACTTAAGATGTTATGCTTTGTTTAATTCTAAACTTTTTAATACGTGCATGCTCCTGTCTCTTTTTTCTGTGGTTTGTATTTTTCTTTTGTTGTTGTTGTTTTCTTTTTTCTGTATGCTAAAGCAATAAAAATGAATTAAAATGATATTAAGCTGGCCTTGTCCTAATTGAGCATGTTATTTAAGCATTTAACCACTTCCATTCACTAGAAATCTTGAATTTTATCCAAATGTTTTCCCCATTCTCCTGTCTAGCCCTCAATACGTAATGCAAACAGGTTCTGCAGTCCATCCAATACCAAGCAGATAGCCCAGTAAAACACAGTCCATCCACTTAGATAACATTCTAGGGATACAATATCAGCCAATTCTGATGCTCTAAGAAGCAACAGCTGCATCCTTCACATCCAACCCAAGTAATTTATAAAATACTTTATGGAAGCTCTATAGATGCTATGGATCTCTTGTTGAATAACTCAGAATTTTCATGCTCATAGGTAGAATACCTCTGAATTCTAGTGGCTGAGAACCACAGTGGGAGCAGAGTATTGTGCCCATTGTCTGTTTGTGGAGTTCCCAGAGGCATCTGATTGTGCACTGTATAGTCTTAGGACTGATCCAGCATGTCTGATCTTAATTACTACTCTCAGAGATTGGCCACTTTTCTGCTCAGTCTTACCAACAATGTTGAACATGCATAATGGACACGTTTGGTGCTGCTGGAGCCAAGGGTCCACACACTGCCGATGGAACTCATGGGAACAGGTGATGATCCGTAGTTCCTGTAAAGTAGGAGAAGGCAGTGGGATGGGAAGGCAGTGATCTAGATTCAAAGGTAAAGGAAGAAAGAGTCTTGATTTGGGTAGGTCAGTCTCCTGCTTTCTTATGGCACATCTCACTGGAAAGGATTGGTGGGAATGTGGTCAAATCTCTTAGCTTCAAACAAGTAATGAGATTTAGGAACCACAGTCATGTGAAAACATATCTCTGTCTCCCAAACCTCACTACTCATTTGAGGTTTCATAATTTTTAATCTAGTTTATGGGTGAAAAAAGTTACAGAATGATGATTTATAAAGATTAAAATAAGATAGTCTAAAGATTGGGAGGGAGGAAGAAAAATAGGTATTAGTTCATAGTTACAAAGTTTGCTGATACTGCTCCTTCTCTGGTTCGCAGATGGGGCCAGACTGATCTCTTCGGGGGGTGGCTGGGCAGGAAAGGGTAGTCAGAGTGATCTAACCAGCATGGTAGCACACGCCTGCCCCTTTTCTACATGCATTGTGACATCATACTGCCCAAAAGGGCAGAACTTGCAGCACGATGCTGTTTTCGTCATATGAAAAATGCACTAAAAATGCAGAGATGCATTTTAGATCCAAGAGCACTCCACCTCACTGCACACTAAGGAATGCTAGAAAACAAAATGCACGTGTAAAGAGCCATGTTTTTATCACTTAAACATCCACAGATTGGCTAGACTTGGTTTTCACCTTGCCCTGACAACAGGAAGCTTTGGCATTCTTCTTCTCACTCACCATAGTATGATGTGAAGGCCCTGCCTGTTCGACCTGAGAACCTACATAAGAACTCCCAGTCCCAGAAAAGGATGCTTACCTGCCCCTCACAAAATTCTTCCAAGCAGATTGCACATATGGGAGGAGAACTGCAGGTGCTAACAGAGTCCCCTGTTGGGGCTTGGTGATGGGGGGCCTGATACCGCCGTATGGCCAGCCGGTTGATTGCTTGTAGGGTCACTTCCTGCACATTTGTCTGAGGAAGGATGAGAAAATAGAGGGAGGAAATCTTCCAGGGCCTCACTTCCTGCACAGCTGACTATGGGTCCCAATAGTTCTTATGCGTCAGGTTATTTACTACTTGTGCTTCTAGTTATTTACTAGAAAGCCACGCTTTTGAAATCTTGCAGGAGATGGAGAGGAGTAAAATTCATGGCTAAGATAATACCATTGTCTGGAAACTACTACCTTATCCTGTCCAGCTTGAAGTGGGTTTAAATGTGGCTTCTTTAGGGAACCATATCTTCCTACAGAGTCCAAGGTGTGGTGCAGCACCATTGCTATGGCAGTGGCAATGGAAACCCACCTATACAAAGTCAAGAGAATTTCAGGAGAATCCAGAGAACTCTTGTAACCCTGTGCTGGTTGCAGCACAATGTATAGCAGATATGGTTGGTAGACTGCAGACAAGATAACCTGACCCTTTGAACTGCTGCTGGGAGGCTAGGCTGAGCCAGAAGAGGAGGAGAATCTAGCTTCCTCATAAATGAACATTAAAAGTTGATGGGAGATGGGTGGTACATACATTTAATAATAAATAAATAAGGTACTAGTTAAGCTCACCATGTACCTACTTTGTCAGAGTGCCTGAAAAAAACCTTCTGAAAGATCTCCTCTTTATGGTCAGATCAAAATTTAATTGTGCCCACCTGCCCCAAAAGATTTCTTACTCTTGAAGTAAGACAACCTGCTGCTCAGAGTCTCCAGAAATGAAGCGGCAAAAGTGTAAGTATTAAACAAACTACAAATACAGGTTTGGAATGATATAATATCCAGTTCTGGTTGGGCTTTGTGATGTTTTGGGTGCCACTGTAAAATATGTGTCTGGCACCCAAAACTTATAGTTCAGATTCCATGGGGGCTTAGGTTACAGTACAAAGACTCTCATGACCACGTGGGCCACAGGACCAAAGCACCAAGCAAAGTATTACTAGTATTATAGTACTACAGAGAAGAACCCTCTCTGAAGGATTGAGAACATTCAACATCAGATGGAGTGCAACTAAAGAATTCTTACCTGATTTCTGCCTGGCTGACAACGAGTGCGAACAAAGAAGATTATGACAATGACCAATACAGTGCTCACAACGGTGAGGAGTATCCAAACATCATAGTCTGGCTGTTGGAAAGACACAAGGGATTAGGGCGCTGCCATTAATTCCAGTGGGCACACTCACATGATATGCCAAAACAAGTCAGAATAGTGGAGTGATTAAGTGTCAATTCAAATCTCTATTCACCCATAGCATTCACTGGTTAACTTTGAGCCCACCACTGACACTTAGCCAGACCTAATTCACAGAGTTGTTCTGAGAATTAATGGGACAGGAAGAAGAGAATGAGATTATAGGCAGATGAAAACCAAGTGCATTTTTTTGAATTTCTTGGAAAAAGTGAGAAATAAATTAAGTAAATAACAATAATGACCATTATAATCTGTTTGTTCCATGTCCTTATAATGACATTATTTTGAGCTGCATTAGATCTGTTTACACTATACTGATCCTATAATTTAGTTATTAATTTTATTAAATAAAATAATTCATCTGAGCATGAAATCAAACAGTATCATGGTAACATGCAGGAGAAAAGAAGGAGACATAAATATTGCTAATGCAAAAAGGAGAAAAGGTTAGATTAAGCTGGAATAACTAGAAATTCCACACTAGAATATTAAGTTTCAGATGGTGATGATTAGGCAGAAAACATCAGAAATATCAAAAGTTATGGCTAGATATAATCAACATAAAATGATACTTAAATTCCAGGTACAGAAAAATCTATTTGGGAAAGAATTATAAAAATATAGAGGGGGATTAAGGCTAGAAATATGAGGGACATCAGCAGAGAAGAGAAAGGATAAAGAATGAGAAATCTGAGTACAAAAAGGACAAACAAGGAAACAGGAATGAAAACTATTAAGAACAAACCCTACCCCCAATCAACAACAGGTTTACTAAGAAAAAAAGTCTGACAGTATTATAACTAAACAAGAGCGGAATAAAAGCTCGCACATTACCAAAGAAAAGGCCATTAAGATAGGTCTGAGTGGTTCTCTAGAGTAGTAAGCTGGAAAGCTGGACTGACGGGCATCTAGATGAAAGACATCCAAGGCAACAAAGGTAGAGAACAAGACGAGAAGCCAAAGGAGGATCACTACAGGTCTGTAACAAATAAGTTATTGAGCCAGACTGGGAAGGCGGAATTATCATATGAGGTGAAGGAATCTAGATTTAGAGCTCAAGCTCACGTAGAGCGCTAAGAGCTAAGAATTAATCAAAAAAGCCATTACAGATACAGCAGCAGGAAAAAAATCACCATAAATTGGGCCTGAAGAAAAGCATGTGAGGATAAATACAGAAAACACTGATATGTGCAGATTTGGCAACCAACTAAATTCTTTTTAGAAAATAATTAAAACTAATGGGCAATTCCAAGAAAAGGGGCAAGAAACAATCTCAGTTCCATTTTTTTTTTTTTTACTTCAAAGATAAATGTCCAAAGCAGAGAATTAAAGACATTCAGCAAACAGTTTGGGGAAAAAAAGCAGGACCATCCGCCAAAGAAGCAAAACAACAGCTGAGAGCAACAGCGAAAAAGGAGGAAGAGGGGATCAAAACCTATCATGAAGCAGATCTGCACAGTGATGGGACCTGTGGCATCATCTTTGAGGGCTTTGATGGGAAAGCCAAAAATAGCTGAAGTGGGGAATTACCAAGGTGCAGGTGAAGGATGACAGAAGTAGACAGATAAAAGAAACAAAAGCCTCCTCCAGAGCAGCTAAACGTGGGCATGAAGACAGGATGAATACAAAATTATGAATACCAGAAGCATACATATCATAAATATGCCTTAGCTAAATTTCCCCACTCAGCAGCCTCCCACATCTAGGTTGGCTGGAGAGGGATGAGAGTTGCAATCCAACACATCTGGAAGAGAAACTAATTTGAGAAAGGTTGTCCTAAGCTAAGGGGGAGACAAAAATGCAACCGAAGATAGCACAAAACCATGGATAATTACTGTGAGTTGGCTGTGATAAAACTGAAAAATGGGCAAGTTAAAGCATACATATTTAATCGTCATTACTTGTGACAGTGACCTCAGATTTCCATTAAGAATCCAGGAAAGAAAAACTCAGGTGCTCACTCACCCAAGCTGGCATTTCCTTCACCTCAATCTTCACATGGGCTTCACGGTTATTGTTCACCACTCTCATCAGAAGTTCAGCATTGTGGCCCCAGATCAGAACAACAGGGTGACTCAGCCCTCGAGGCTTCCTCAGCTGCGGAGAGATGGAAGGTGAGCTGGCCTCTCTGGACCATTCTACAAAACACCCATTTGGCTTGGGAGAAACCTGGAAATCTTTCCTTAACATGTTTTAGCAAAGACCGAGTTCAAGTCCCATCTCTGTTGGGGAGATGCCTATCTTAAAATCTCACAGAGTCATACAATATTGCCCATAAAACTGCTTCCTTAGCAGTCAGTTTAGTGTTGAGAAGGCAATCCTAATGACCAGGTGAGACCATCAAGATATCTTGATTCCTGAAGTCTGAAATCCAAACGGTGCTCCATTCTGATTAACTAGTGAGCCCTCTTACACTGAGTTTGTTTCTTTGTTTAATGAATTTATAATGCTGGCGGCGCTTGCATGGGAGAAGGGAGCAGTTGCTGGTAATGCGGAAGCCGCGCACACCCGAAAAAGGCACGAAGCAACGGAAACCCTGCCTCCTGCGCCCGCCAGCTGGGCGCTGCTCTCGGAAGGAGGCAAG